TTAACATAATCGTGGAATAATTACTGAAAATTAAAAGTACTTAAGGGTTTTTAAGGATTTTAACACGATCGTGGGACAATTAGTGAGAGTACAAATATAATATATAGGTACTTTGTTTAAAGTTACAAGTACTTAAGGGTGTTTATTCTGTTTTATTTTTCTTGGTCTTGGAAAAATTGCCAGGAAAGGTATAAGGTTTTGAAAAAAAAAACGGACCTTGAACCTTGAACGGACCTTGAAAATGTTGTCAAACTGTTGACAAACTGTCAAGCTGTCGGAAGCGTGCGTGACGGAAGGTATTACTTTCCACACAGGATGAATAAAGTTAATTGAATAATGGGAGGAAAGGTAAATTGTAAGGGGTAAATGTGATTCTTTTGCTATCTAAACCAATAGTGATATGTACTTTCCACTAGACGATCAAGAAAATTAAATTTTATATTCAAAAGGAATTCCAATTACTTTTTACCTATTCCTGGTTCATTTAAAAAAACATTAGACTAATAAGATTATTGAAATTATAACATTATTGTTGGGTTAAACAAGTTCAAAATTTTATGGTTTCTATAAATATCATTTATCACCTTTGTTGTTGTCACTTTTGTAGGGCATCCCGTGACTCACGCCTTTTTTCATCATTTAAAATATGTTATAAATATCTGGAGTTCGAGGGGCTCTCTGAAGGTTGGGGATCGGGGCTACAGCCCATCCTAGCCCCTCCGTTAAGCCGAATTTGAAAAGATTCTCAAATCGTCCTCGATAATATCGCAGAAAGACGAAAAATTTCAAAATCCACAGATTAATGTGTGCTCTCACTCCGTGGCCACGATCTATTCCCCTCGGTTTGGAAGAACTGCATTTTTTGAAAATGACAACGCAATTACGCACAGTATCTTTTAAATTTGAGTTGCCACCTGCCTGATGATGGCTCAAAACCAAACTTTCCCCATCCTGAGAAGAAAGTGCGCTCTTTCGAATGCATGATTTAGCATTAAGCCAATAAAGATTTAAAGATTTAGCATTAAGCCAAAAGCGAATAATTATGTCTAGTCATAACTCGAATACTCGAATACACCAACATTATCAAACTCACAAGGTGCAAATATATTTATATGCACTTTGTATACTTTTATAAAATAAATTATTCATATTCTACAAGCATTTAAACATATACCCATATATTTACAAGCAAATAAAAATAATCATTTACCCTCCTGCAAATGAATTTAAAATTACGTGTCTGTGTTCTCGTGACTCTCGTCATCAACTTTTGCGCGGTGTTACAATTAATGTGCCGACAAATGGTCGGCACTTTTTTAAGTTAGCTCTTGAAATCGTGTTAAAAATCGCTGTCAAAGGGAAAAAATATAACCGCCACCTATTGCGGCTAGTTCCCAAAAAATGATATGAGATAACGATATTTCATCTTGGAAAACGGTGATACTCGAATACTCAAATATTCGAATACTCGATTATTCGAATATTCTTTAGATATTCGCGTATTCGAATAATTTTACTATTCGAATAAACCTCTAAACGAGTATTAGAATTTCAGATTTTAAAAAATTCCGAGCACTAATATTAATGTATGATAGACTAAATACAATCAGTGCATTCGATAAAAGTTCGTTAATTATCTCTGGCAGTTTAGTGCTTCCGCTTTTGATCAGTTTCATAAACTTTCTTAATTTTATGAACTCGAGACTGTGTTTAGTTTTATTTTCAAAACATTTCTGTTGTGTGTTTTTAGTTTTATTGTTGCAATTTCTTGTGGTATCTAATACCTGGTGGTTTGTTGTCCTATTAGAAGTGTAATTTCACAAAACTGTTTGCCTTATTATCGAATCATGGTTCACATCATCAGGTAGCTCAAAAACGATTTAAATAGGAAAAGTTTCCAAATTGAACAGAAAAATTATAGATATTGTTTATTAAATTGAAATGTCAGTGACGTTCTTAGAAATATATTGATGGGGTAAAAGTTGCGCAATGAGCCTATAAACATTACGCCCTGTAGATGGCCGCAACCATTTGTCTTAAATAAAGATGCAGATCTCCAATAATTTAACTAAATTTTCTAAAATATTTTTTCTACAGAAGCTGTAGAGCTGTAGCTGCTAAGAAATCCAGATCGTTGGACCGGCTATTTCCGGCAAAATATATACTGACTTTTTAAACGGTATATTAAGGCGATTTTATGAAAAATTAAGTTTTGCTAACAAATTAACTTAATCATCAGCAAATATAATAAATCTACTAAACTTGACACGCGCGGTTTGTCTCAATTGACTTTTTCCATTGGGTAGACTTTAGATTCTTTATTAATTTTTAATCAATAGCTTGAGGTTTGCTTATTTTTTTCTCAGCAACAGTAAGCGGGTGTAAATTCTACTATAAAAAATAATAATTAACGGCTAAGTTTATGTCAATTTTCTAAAAATTGTATCAAAACGGTGGTTTATTAGTATTTGGGACATGCAAAATCACATCCACTATTCACGTGCGAAACCCGTTACATCTCACTAGATGAATTTATACAAATTTCCCGACGTGAACTAACAATGTCAAACAGTGGCAGAATTAATCACTATCCCAACACCTGATCTATCATTATCTGAGAATCGCAAATTATCCAATCCAGGTTTCGCGGAAATTGCGCCGAAAATTCCAAACTCCAAACCTAGACCTTTCCAGGAACCGTTAACAATCGCTATACGCGAGCATCCAAACTAAAAATACTCAAACGGACCAATCCTCCAAAAATCAAAGAAAAAATATCGCGCTACACACTTGAGCGTTTCTGATAATGCTATGTAGACGTCACAAGCCCCAGTCTGTATTTAAGTACAAACCAGCCACGTTCCTCAACAGTTGAAAATCGCATTCAGAGCGAGCTAAATCTAGCTAACCCTGAACCGAACAGAAACGTGATCGTTCGATCGACTTTTGTTTCTCACGCTTTTCAACCAATCAAAACTTTCGTTTTACAGTGCGAGGAAAAAATTTTAATATATTTCGCCGTCGCTTGATCAGTGCATGCTTCATTGTGAGTGCCTTTTGGGATTTTTCACGTGCTTTCTACAATGTTGTCGTCCGCTGATGACTTGCCTGTGACCGGTCGCCACAGGGTGTTGCAAAAGTCCGTCTCCCAGGAAGCGTTTGACGTGATATCTAGAGTGCCCCCGGAGTCTGCAAAATTATTTCAAAATATTCCCTGGTTGAATATTATGACTGATATTGCTCTTACCGCAGCTATTGCTGAGATGAAGGTGTGTACCATAAAATAAAAAGTGTTCAATGGCAGAGAAATTAATTTTTCATTAAGTGCTGATTTAATTTTGTTGCAAAATAACATTTGAAATTGTGTGTACAATGCTTCTATTAGCATTATGAGTAACCGAAATCGCAAATAATGTCATGCAAATCCGTTAAATAGAAGTTAATGAAAAAATCAACATACATGAATTCGAAAACTTCTATTTGCCCCTTGACACCAAAACAATTCTTCGATTAGCATTATGAGTCAAGAATATCAGCATTTTGAATAAACGCATAGAGCTTTCGTTGTCGACAAAAAAAGTACTGAACAGCGGATGTTCATTAAAAATCGTCCTGCTTTTTTGAAGCCTTAAAAAAAGTGCATGCGAGGTCAGTGCCTTAGGATAAAATGAAAATAAATGTAAATGAAATGCAATTTCTCTAGCGTAGGTGCACAAATATGTTAAATAATGAACAAATTAGCAAGATTAAAGGCCGCAGTTAAAAACCTATTTGTAACAGCGTACTTGTTTGCAAAGAAAAACAAGTTTATTGAATAATGAATAGAGAATTAACATTCATTTCGAACTTTGTGGCTAAAAAGTTTTCGATTTTGTACTTGGAGTTCATTTCATATGAACAAGATCGATAGTTGAGGAATGAGGACGAGATAAATGAACGGTCAAATACTAGCAACAACAATATACACACTTCCATAATAATTAATGAGACAACGAATTTATCGCCCTTTGACGTCAATGTTTATTACGAACAGATCATTAAAATTAATTTTTTTGAAGTTCACTTCTGATTTATCTGCTTCAACTGTTTTGAGTTTTGCCGCCAATATGTAAAACATGTGCAGACGGCGTGGTGATATTTCTATTTGTTATTAATAAAATTATTCTCATTAACCGTGGAAACATTAACATTTGTGACGTCAAGATAGTGTCAAATGTTAGCGAGTACACAGTGATATTGATAGAAGCAATTCAAGATAATGTCTTTAAACTGTGAAAGCAAATAAACATTAATAAAAGCACGGGATATTAAATTAGGATGGCGTGCCAACGTATTGCATCTAAAAAAACTTTAAACAATAAAGTAAACACTGTCTTTTAGAAATTAGCACATTCGAGTGTGCTAATTAAATTTCAAAATTGGGGAAAAACATTTGAAAATTTTACAACATTTAAGTGCAATTTAAGTAACCTTGATTTTGCGACTATTCCAACATGTGCTATTACATAAACGCGTTTATCTAGCTATTAAAGTATTTATTTAAATTATACCTATATAAGTAAGTAGGTACTCAACAAGATGTCTATCTCGCAGCTCGGTCTCATGTTAGGAGCGTATAGACTTTGTTTTGAAAATGAGGATTTGCATTATCAGTTTTAACAATAACCTGCAGCTTAATAATGAAATTTTGGGATTACCACTGTAAACTTCAAATGCGTAAATAGTCACACTTTTCCTACATAAAGATCGTTGTTCCATTTTGCGAGTTCTTAGTCGCCTACACGTAGCACCAGGGTGTTTTGATGTTTACTTCCGCATCACTAAATCCGTTGAAAATGCCTCCTAGTTTCGGTATAATGATCGGCGAATTCAATATACATTCCAGATTACCGAAAAAAGTTGGTAAACATGTTTACAACACTTCACCTAAATCCACAACATTAAAATTTTATCGGAATTACACGATTTAACTGATAACAAAACTTTTTCTAATTTTTCAGTTCAAACGCATGCTGAACAAGGAACTGTCTCACTTCTCGGAATCCAGCCGTTCAGGAAATCAAATCTCCGAATACATTTGCTCCACCTTCTTGGACAAACAGCAGGAATTAGACATCCCCACCGCCCTCCGTCCCGATGAGCCCGCTGAACCGCCCAAAGGGGCGCAGCGCAAAGAGCGCCCCAGGGCGCCCACCACCATGTCACAGATATCTGGGGTGAACCGAAAGTTATGTCACACCAATTCTTTCACTGGCGAAAAACTACCCACTCATGGCGTTGAAACTCCTTATGAAGATGAACTAGGTAATTACTGCTTGAGTCCTCCGCTCTGTCATTAACAGAAACCCAAGTTACATAAAAGTGGAAATCCGGACTTCTTTACTTTATATCGGAGGGTTGCATTTGCTCTCTTGACGTCAAAGCAACAACCTTTTAACCCAATTGGAGCCAGGGGAGGCCAAAAATAAAAAAATCCGACATCACAAGGTGCGAATCAATAGACTGTATTAATAATGCCTGAAACGGACGTGTTTTAATAACATGGCATACTTCATAAAGCAAAATGCGTGTCTGGATTTTCAAGATTATAAACAGGGTTTTTTTAATTTGCTTGTTTTCTACACGCCCCTTTATAATATAATAGCACATTATTCATAATGAAAATAAATGAAACTAAATTAATTTCCACACTAGTTATTATTAAATGTTTCAGCTCTAAAAACGTCCTAATATTTTGATTCGTAATTGATGCAATTTTCTAACAATCTAAAGTTAAAGTTCAGCACAGTTTTTATAATTTTCTTTATCAAAATTGTTGAATTTACTATACTTTCCCATTTCAATAGCGTTTTGGGTTTCCGCATCATCATAACTTCTTGGTTTCTTCTTTTCAAGTGTTCATTTATTGGGATTAGTCTGTTTCATAAAACACTACTTGTTGACATCAGTTTTCAACGGCTTCCTAAGTAACTTTGTTCCGTACTCGATGAATAAAGTTTGCGGAATCTAAAAGCTCTTAGAGCATTTCCTTTCTGTCTGCTTCCATCATTTTCAACAGCATTATTTGTCTGTGTTGGCATTTTAAGAAATGACCAAGTCGTTGATTTATGAATGAAAGGTTCGCAACGATATTCCTACTACAAAACTAGTAAACCATTGCAAGAGTCCCATTTCTACATCTTCCTGTGCTGTTTTTTCCAACATTTTAGACTTTACATTAACATGACGGTATGTGATATATTTCCTCGTTTTTTCCAAATCATTAGTACCGTGAGTTCAATGTTCAAAGTTGACTGTAAGCAAACGATTGTAACTTATGGCATCTAGTCAGGTAACGTTATGAAACCTCATTATAAACTCTCGTTACATCTGGTAATTGTTTTACTCTTCTCGAAAATTCACGCAATTTCAATTAGACTGAATTAGACTAGAATAAGCGCAAATGCACGATGGCCAACCTTCACTGTACTTCTATTAATCGTTTTCTGTTTATTTCAGGAAAATGTCTTATGGAAATTGACCGATGGGGTGTGGACATGTTCAGAATCGGCGAGCTTAGTAACGAGAGGCCCCTAACAGCTGTAGCTTATACAGTGTTCACGAGCAGAGATCTGCTGAAAACCATGTTGATTCAGCCAAAGGTGCTGGTGACGTACATGATGACTGTCGAAGACCATTACGTAAAAGAAAATCCTTTCCACAACTCTTTGCATGCCGCTGATGTAACTCAAAGCACCCATGTACTCCTCAACACGCCGGCTTTAGAATCAGTGTTTACTCCTTTGGAAATAACTGCAGCTCTTTTTGCTGCCTGCGTTCACGACGTTGACCATCCAGGTAGGAATCAGACAATCAAATAAATAAAATTCTAATTGGCACGCGTACCTAACGATGCCAATACAATGCTGCTAGCCACGCAACATTCCTAATCTTATTGTGTTTTGGCAGGTCTAACCAATCAATTCCTCGTCAACACAAGTTCCGAATTGGCAATCATGTATAACGACGAAAGCGTGCTGGAAAATCATCATTTAGCCGTGGCTTTCAAGCTACTGTGCAATGAAGGCTGCGATATGTTTGCCAACATGAGCAGAAAACAAAGGCAAACCTTGAGGAAGATGGTCATTGACATGGTGCTAAGCACCGACATGTCTAAACACATGACCCTGTTGGCTGATCTGAAAACAATGGTTGAGACCAAGAAAGTGGCTGGAAGCGGCGTTTTATTGCTGGACAATTACACAGACCGGATTCAAGTGCTGGAAAATTTGGTCCACTGTGCCGACTTGAGCAATCCAACTAAACCGTTGCGCTTATACAGGTCAGTTTCTTCGCCTCTTGTGTCTTATGATGCTACTAAAGATATCTACCTGAATAGTTTTACTCACTTATTCCATATTGTTTCAGACTCTGGGTAGAGCGCCTGATGGAAGAATTCTTCCGTCAAGGAGACAAAGAACGCGAGGCAGGCTTGGACATATCCGCTATGTGCGATCGTCACTCTGCAACAATCGAAAAATCGCAGGTCGGTTTTATCGATTACATTGTACATCCTCTCTGGGAAACCTGGGCAGACTTGGTGCATCCCGATGCCCAAGATATCTTAGATACGTTAGAAGAAAATCGCGACTGGTACCAAAGCGCCATACCTGCCAGTCCTCCGGCCGAAGAAGACCAAGATGATCCTCAACGTTCTGGCATCCGCTTTCAGGTAAGAATGCGAAACTTCGTCATTAAACATATGATGATTAAATGACACATGCTTGAAGTTCCCGAGTATTAATGTTTCGTTTGCTTTGTTTCAGGTGACATTAGAAGAAGGCGATGCCGAATCCGAGACGGAATCAGCTGGCCCAATGTGACGGAGGCTGGCCGGCCTCTGCAGGAAGCTCACTGAAAAAGTGACACAATGGTGGCGCACTAGACCATAAAGCGCTGGCGCTGGGCAAGTGCGAACGGGACAGATGCGCAGGCGCATTACCCGACATGTAGCTGATAGAAGATTCAAGGCGAAACCAGTCGTTGATGTCGTTTCGTTTTAGTTTTTTGGCCTCCTCGACCTTCGACGTTTTGCCTTAACCGTGTAGAAGAGACTTATTTCTNCCTACTGACTGTGCATCTGTAAATAAGTCATTGAAATTTACTGGAAAATGTCTGTCAGTGTAATACTCACCTCCCCCCCTCGTGTATGTATAGGTACTATGTGTCTTGTCAGCTATATTATAAACACAACAAGTAAAGCTCTCTCCATTTTAAATACGGTGTATCATTAATTTTCCCCAAATCCATCAATCCATACGACTTATTAAAAATATGAACCGTTAACGTTCATCATACTGAGACCGAGCGAAGACGAAAGAAAGACCTCATCGGGATATTCTCTGAATAACCCGACACGTATTTTTTCCAATAACGGGACAGCTTTGAGGCATTTGCTTCCTTTTACGTGCAATACTCTAATGGAAGTGAACGAAATATTGAAGGCACCTTTACATCTTCGGACCTTTAACGCGGAAAAATGTGATCGTGTCTAGACTACGTTCACATTTTTCCGCATAAAAACTGTGCTACAAGTGCTTTTTTAAGCTAGAGTATGTGTTTGCATCAATGTACCTACATAAATAAATAAAAGTGTTTATAGTCGATGATTTCCGTAATAGAAATGTATGTAGATATACGTTTGTATATACGTATGTAGTTTCGCACTGGTCGCTCTGTAGCGCTTCTCAGTGGGGCTGCTGAGAAGCGCGTTTTGAAGGTACATACATTGATTTACACGGAGCCATTCACACGCGCGCGACCAAGGCCGGAGCACCGATATAGCAGAGCTTCTGTGGCGTTCAGTGGTTGACTACCGCCGAGAAGCGCGTCAAAAAGAAGCGCCACTGATAGCAATAAATTGGTTCAAATGCTGGCGTCCACACGAGCCACTTCAGTCTGCTGAAGGTTACCATGCGCTTCTCAGGAGTGCCACCAGTGCCACCGAGAAGCGCTGCAGAGCGGCCCGTGTGAAAAGACTTACTCCCCGGCCCCCGTACTTAAGTCCCCCACTGCACTTTGAAAGCACAAAGTTGGGTTTTCACGCTCAAATAATTTGCCCAAACTGGATTGCACAAGCCGATTTGCGCAAATGAACTGAACGAAAATTGTTCGTTTACACGCTCAGTTCGTTTTGCACAAATGTGAAGTGAGGAACACCCAGAAGTGAGTTTGTTGTCAACAAAATGAAAAATTTGGTCGAAGAACTATTTCTTGTAACGGCTTCAGTTTGTGTTATAAAGAAGATGAGCTTGAAAATGTAATTGATTTAGCATTGCAATCGCTATAATTTTTACTTTTCAACTTCCATAAACAAGGAAACGACTTGTTTGTATTAATCAAGTCACAAATATGTAGTTTTTCATTAGCCATCGTTTTGCACTTTTGTTGCAGAAAGAGTATGAGACGCTTTGAATTACTACAGCAGTATTTCTATATTGAATGCGTTTCACACAAATTTAATATAACTTGAGCTTGAGCACTTGTGTAATATTTGAATGAATTTTATAGGCCCCACTATGGTTCTCATTAACATAGATGGATGTCACCCTTGTTCTTGGGTGCCAGTGTTGCCGCAACTTAATTACTAATTACAAGTGATATATGTTGAAAAAAGAATAAATAACAAAATTTGGAGCATCCAAACAGTTATTTTAATCAATGAAAAGTTTGATATTATGTGGAATACAACAAGCATATTGGCAAATACATACATTAAAGTTATAATAATATAACTAACGCATGTGGTAGAAAGATTTCATTCAGCACCCGTGAACCAGGCATGAACATCGTTTAGACGCACAAGCCAATGCCCCAACCTCAGCCTCAAGGATAGATTTAACTCAAGCCAAATTTTTCGGCTTGCGAAAACTTTAAGCCTCGGTTTACACGTGACGATTTGTTTGTGCAAATGGCTTGCGGCTCTTAATGAGAGAACCAAACGACTGTCTGGCGAGCGAAAAACCTCACTTAACTGGGCGTAGTGGATAAATTGATCAGTAAGGGGAGAGGAGTGGCTGAACAGTCGCAGGCACGAGAAGATCGTATCGGAGTCAGACTCCAAATTGTCAGTTGATAGGAGTAAGGGAGCAATGGAGAAGATATGAGGCAGATATGATTTTCCTAGGTTGGGGTTCTTGATTTGGAGCTGGGAGTCAACTTGCGGTCGTCGAGCAATTTTATGAAGGCTGATGGAAATGGATGGAAGTACTAAATAAAAATCAACATTTTTATAATTACATATTATGCAAATTAACAAGTTCAGTCACTTTCAGACTTCATATTCTCACTTTCTGTGTCTTCTTCTAAATGCAAGGATGGCTGATACACCACATAAGACGAATCGTCTTCCATTTGGACATCTTGATACCTACATAAAAGTAACACTGTTGAATATTGATCTAACACAAACGAAATTTAAAAATAAAACCTTGACAATTACTTATTGGGGGTAATAATCCGAAGTTATAGTTATTTCAAATAATAATTGCTTTCGCAAAGCAATCGCCTTTAACGTACAATTTACATTAAAATACACGAGACTTCACTTTCAAACAACTGCTTCTTTAAAAGTCCCGTAGTATTTTCTTTTTTAATTTAGAAAAGCTGCGAAAGCACTCAAGAATGGGTAAATGGGGAAAACCGTAATAAAGTTGGCATGAAAAAAATCACTTGCTCTACATAAGAAAAAACCCACGGGAAACGTCAAGGGCACGATATCTCGTATTATTAACCTACGCACGTTTACCGTTCAAAAATATCAGCAGACACTAAAAACCTACGATTTTGATTTTGCGACCAGTTTGAGTTTATCAGAACCAAATAATAACAAAAATATAGAAAACAATTTAAAGTTTTGCACAGATTTTCTGTGATCTAGAACTTTTGATAAAAATCCGAACCAAGTAATACTTGCAGAAGGGTTGCATTTACTACCAACTTTGCTGGGCACTGCTCTATCCACATTTGCGCCAGACCCCGTCCGTTTTAACATCAAACCGTCCAGATTCAGGCATTAAGTATTATAAACAATAAAAAATTATGTTAGTTGTGAGTTGCGGTTACGCACATTGTAACGCATATTTACGTAATGTTACGAAAAAGGTTATTTACAAGTGCGGATATAATACTTTGATTGTAACATCTGATTAAATTTGGTAGTGAGAACGTTTTTACTACATGTCCCGAGTCCTTAAATACTCCATTGTCAACACCTCCAAAAGAACCACGCAAATTTTTTATCCCTCCGTATAAATTTGAAACTGGATATCTTCGTCCATATCAACTTTATATGGAAACATTGAAATTTTGCAAAAAAGTGCACATTATTTATGGTATTATGTAAATGGTTTCGCCCGCTAATAGCTGAAACTACATCCTCCGTACCGCAACCTTCAGACAATTCTGTGTTTTGGTCTCTATGCTATCTACATTTTACTTTCTTAAAAATTATTAATAGAGCGTTAAATGAAAACGTATAAGGTAGTTCCATATTTCATCTTTGCAGTATGTAACGATAGTCTAAAGAAAAATACTGGCGAACGCGAAAGTTGCACGTTGAAACCTGCAGTTTTGCGTTGCAGTAACGACCTACAAACCTTTGCACAAATTTTTGTACATCGTGTTTTTCGTGCGGGATTTTACGGTGTGATATGAGAGTGGCCTCAAATCTCTGGTATTTTGATTAGAAATACTTAATGAGACTAAATCCAAAATTTTGAAAGTTTCACAGTCCATACAAAGATAACTTTTAAAGTCGTATATATACAGGATAATATTGTCTTAATTCATTTATTAATGGCATATGCCCATATTTATTACGATCTTTCCTCCATTTTTCACCCAAATTATTTTTTTTCTTTTCTTCATCCAGCAAATTCATATACACAGATAGACGTAGAGCCACTTTCATTTTTTGCCTAATTTTGCACATTTTGAGCCAAAAATGTCAGTCCTTTTAGAAATTCTAAAACTCTACGAGCCATGCAATTCGGGTATGATATCTGCGAATTTTGCATTTATTCTCAGAAGCTTATCACCTCACAAGCCAGGAGCGAGGGAAAAGAGTTGATGATTAGAACGTTGCAATAATTCTAGTGACATGCTCTTGGATCGTCACGATTTTCGCCAAGTTTTAAACGCGCGATTGTCGCGTCGTTCCCGAACCGAGCGATGAGAGCGTAAGTGTAAAAGCACCTATAGTTTCGAAATAATAGAGAAAAGCATATTTATTGCAAGCCAAGTTTTCATTGAACTTTTTGTTTTCATACGATTTTGTGACATCACATCCTTTGTAAAAACCAGAAAAATCCCCAGAATCAATACATTTTTTAGTTCCCATGCATTCGACAATAATGATATCGCTAAAATTTCCTTCACGCAAAATGTATTTCATAATAAAAACGCTATAATGCATCTTTGATATGTATAAAATCCATAGAATAATACAATAATAAACAAATTGGCCAACAGAAACACGATTTGTATATTATTATTAAATTTGCGTCACGAAACCGCTTTACGATTTCACGTGTACGACGTCATTAGACAGCTAGGCTGCATTTGCTGGTAAACTAATTTTATGTGTTCCGTGTTAAATTGATCCGGTTATTACCGATTATAACTTAATATGAATAGCATAATGTCTGTTGAAGGATATTTCAAAACACAGTCACATTACCAAATGTAAGACGTAAATAAATATCGAAACCAATAAATTCTAAACGACCACCTAAGTGGGCATAGAAGCCGTGCAGATAAAGGTTGACATGTACAGTAGCGGTAGGATATCATGCGGAACTATTGAGGACCGTTCCAAGGGCATCGCCCGTTAGTTTTAAAGGGAAGAACTTTATGTACAAAAGCTGACCCAAATTCCGATCATCCTATTCAAGTACGTCGTTCTACCGCCCAACGAGAACTTTCTCAAATTCGTAGAACAGGGCTTGAGCTTGTTACAAGCTACTATTATTATATATATATTATATTACAATACTCCCTACGCGAAGAATCTGGGGAAAATTTGACTCAAACTCCACCCAACCTGGGGGTGGGAATCTGTCAATAAATAAGGGTGAAATCACAGCCAGTACTGTTAGTTCAAATTCGCATTAGAGCAGCAATTATCAGTGTGATTTCGTGTTAGTGTAAAAATCAACATCAGGTGAGTTTCTCACAGAGTAGCCTTTTCAA